GTTGGGCGTTAATTTTTTCCATTTCTTTCTTATGCTGGGCCTTCATGGCTTCTATCATGGTCCTGAGCTCATCTATTTTTTTGTCAGTTTCTGCTCTAGAGTCTCGAATCACGACTTCCATTTTACTCACTATCTCTATGGTTATCTGGGAAATTATTTCTGTTTTGAATTTTTCTAGAGCCTGATTGATCTGTTTTGTTACTTCCTGTGCTTTGAGTTCAGGGTGTCCTGGTGGTTCACTATCGGCCTTTTCACCCTCATTTGCCCTACTGTTTGCCATTGGTGAACTGGAAGTCTGTCCTTGTGTCTTGCTTAAGTGTTTTCTCATTTTAATTTTTGTTGTCGGACTGTCCTTGGTTTACTCTCTGGATTATCACCCAAATCTTCCTGATATAGTTGCGCCCTAGCTTCTGTGTCTCTAACGACCCACAGACATTCTCATCTTCATAACATCAGAGAAAACAGCTCATCAAATCAACGGCAATGCTTTACCCCAACTGATACAATCAGCAACACATTAAGATCAAGCACAACTTGGACACTGACCACCTGTGGTAGTCACTAGTCTATCGCCCTTAAATCATTTGAATTAAATTGAAATCAAGAAACAGTCCAGAACATGTCTGCAGTGAACAAACTTTTCAATATAGTGTATTTACCATTTAATGGCTCAGACAGAGCGAGGATGCAAGACCCCCTATCTCAGTTAGCTGAGTGCTGAACCCCCTGACGCTGACTGACCTCGGGCTGCAAGGCCCAGATTGAGTTCCCCATCCTTCTGAATGGTTGAACTCCGCAATGTTCTATTACCGGTTTCCCACGCCCTTTCTTTAAAGATGTTCAAATTTGGGAACTCAGAAAAATACCCTTGATGACCACCTCTGTCTTTGCAGAGTGGGTCCAAAGATTTGCACAGTCAGGAGGTCTGAGAGTGCGGGGGGGGGCTTATGGGGGTTCAGGGGCACCCGCGTGCCTACCTTTCCGGCGCTTCAGCGATGGTGGCTGGGTTGGGAGCAGGCGTGGTTCTCCTTCCCCGTGCTTGAGCGATGGCGGCTGGGTCGGGGGCAGGCGTGGTTCTCCTTCCCGCGGTGGATCGGGCCCAGCCTACCTTCCCGGTGCTTGAGCGATGGCAGCTGGGTCGGGAGCAGGCGTGGTTCTCCTTCCTGGCGCTTGAGCGATGGCAGCTGGGTCGGGAGCAGGCGTGGTTCTCCTTCCCGCGGTGGATCGGGCCCGGCCTACCTTCCCTGCGCTTGAGCGATGGCAGCTGGGTCGGGAGCAGGTGTGGTTCTCCCTACACATTTATTTTCAACGATGAAGTTGTTTGCCACAATACTTGAACAGCTGAGTTGTTTTAAAGTCATGAAAGGAAAAAAAGTAAATTATTTTTAGATTGCAATCCTCTTCATCCTAACGCTTGTAACAGGAACCCAGAGGCCCTTGCAGTTTTGTGGTCTCTTGACTGCTTCTTTTTCTTCTCGGTTTCAGTGCATAGGACAGAGCCTGTCGCCCTCTTTGCTGACTGACTTTATGCTGCATCTCCTGATGAAACTCTCCACACCTGACAGAGAAACTGCATCCAAAGCAGCATCTGTGCTGAAACCGACTCTGAAATACCACGCCCGGAAGGTCACCAGGGTACGTGGCATTTCTGGAATGCAGAGAGCCTCGGCTTCATCGCCACACAGCGCCCCTCCCTGGTGTCTATGGACTCTGTGGTTTTGCTGTTTAACTCACTTACTCTTTGGGTTTCTCACGCAAGGGAAACCACGTGATATTCGACCTTTCGTTCTTGCTCATTTCACGTAACACCAAGGTCTCGAGGTGCGTCCATTTCCCTAAAATGACTCCTATTTGGGGCTGAGTAGTACACCACCGTAAGTGTACATATTTTCTGTATCCATTTACGTGTTGATGGACATTTAGGCCACTTTGAAAATGTAGCTGTAGTGCAGTTTTTTATTTTGTTATATGCCTACTTTTCATACACGTCCCCCCCCCACTTTATTTTTGGTGCCGGGGATCGAACTCAGGACCTTGCGCTTGCGAGGCAGGCAGCGGAACCGGAACCGCTGAGCTGAATCCCCGGCCCATCATATGCATTTCTTGACCTTGCTCATTAGTCACTTTAATGAAATGAGGCTTTGTATGAACCATTTCAAGTATGCAGAAAATTCTACAGAATACTTTAGTGAATGTTCAACTGCCGGTCATACTGAATTATAACATTTGACTCTATTTGCTTCCATTTTTAAAAAGAAACGCATTAATGACACTAGCTCAGCAAGTGGAGCCTCCTGTGTGGCCCTTATGTAGTTTAAGCACCTCCACCTGGCTGCAGGGCAACCATCATTTGTGGGGCACGGTGCAAAATGGAATACGGGACTGGGGAGCCGGAGATTTAGCTCAGTGGTGCGGCCGCCTGCCTCATAAGCTCAAGGACCCGAGTTCGATCCCTGGTACCCTCCCCCCAAAAACTATGGGACTGTGTTTTCACAACATAGGGAAGACAGTCATCAAATGGCTAAGCCTGTGATGTTCGTTTTTCTTCTGTAGTCTCATTCAAGCCATCAAGGATTTCTTATCTGCCATTGAATGCAAAAAGGTTAATTAAAATTGTAAATTATTAGTGCATGTGCTACCCCTATTATGTCGTCTAGTGCCGACTGCAAACATAAATCTAAGAGCGTTTAGCTGGGTGTGGTGGTCACACTCATCCCGCGCTCTGAGGGGCTGAGGGAGAGGACTGCAAGTCTGAGCTCAGCCTGAACAGCTCAGTGACTTAGCGGAGACCCTTTCTCTGAATGAAGAAAATCAGAGGGCGCTCCCTTTGGCAGCACAGGCCCTGAGACCGGAACGATTCAGATTAGCTTGGCCCCGCCCAAGGGTGACAGGCAAATTCGTGGAGATCCCTGGAACGTGCCGCACTTCTCACACACAGGAATGAAACAGTGATGATGATGTAATAAAAATCAAAATTGGAGAAGGGTGCCCAGCAGGAAAGCGGGAGGGGGACAGGAGAGGGAAGGGGAAGAAAAAGAACCAAGATCGCTAAGCACCTGTACTCGTTCCCCACGAGAAAGCGTAAACATCACACACGGCAAGCATGTGCGGACAAAAAAATGAAAAAAAAAGGACATTGGCACTACAAGCATAAAAAGATTTAAAAAAAATAAAAAGAGCTGGAAATATATCTCAGTGCAAATGCCCTGGCTTCAATCCCCAGTGCAAATAAATAAATAAATGCTTTCGACTCACGTGCATAATTGCTACTACAGTGATCGAACTCAAGTCTTTGAGCTTGCAAGTCAGGCAGCAGAACCACTGAGCTACATCCCCAGCCCAACACAACTGTATTTCATACATGTGTACAGATGGATCTCATTCTTTCCAGAAGCAGAAGACTAGAAACATGGCACAAAATGCTTGCCAGGCACGGTGGCGCACGCCTGTAACCCTGGCCCTTGGGAGGCTGAGGCAGGAGCATCGCTAAGGAGCTGGAGGCCAGCCTGGGCTACACAGTGAGACCTTCTCTCAAATAATAAACAAACAACAGCAACAACAAGAGAAACTAACTCAGCTGTTTGTATTTCACTTCTTGTCATTCACATGGTCTATTAAAACTGTTGCCCTTCGGCTCACTGAGGTGCTAAGAAAGATGCCGTCCTCCTGAACCGAGGCGAGTGGGGCCACAGAGCCACAGAGGCCTCCCACGCTGCAAGCAGCGTCTGTGCTCCATCGTCCTGTGGGGCTGAGCCTATGAAACACAAGCCCAAGGAGAAAAATGGTTACAAATTTCAAAATGGTAACAGCAGAGCTTTTAACAAAGTGGAAGAACTTGTCCCACCTGCAGCCCTGTCCAGTGTGCTGAACTCCCAATACCCACCCTCTCCTGACCCAACGGGCAAAGTAACTGAAAATAAGCTAAAAGCAGGAAAGTGGAAGGGACGCGTCGTGGAGAACCGCTGGTGTGGTGACCGACGAGAGCATCACCCAGAGCAGAGGCACGAGGGCCTTCTCGGTGACGAGACACGAGTCATCGAAGGGAGCCGGAAGAAACCACACCAAGTTTCTGCAGAGGAAGACACTAACACCCAGATATATAGCGCCAGGGATCTAGCTCAGTGGTTCTGCTGCCTACCTCGCAAGCACAAGGTCCCGAGTTCAGTCCCCAGGTACAAAAAAAACAAACAACAAAAAAGCCCAGCTCTATAAAACTAGCCTCCAGGACAGCAAATCGCTAATCTGGAGAAACTGAATAAAAATGGGATTCATCAACTTAAATGATCACCACAGCTCTCACAAATAGTTGAACTACTGAATGAAATAGATTCTTAAAGGGGATTAGAATCTAACATCCGCTATAAGGAAAATTTGCGCGTGGTTAAACAAACATTTCCTAAATTTTACAAAAACTATACGGTGGACCTTTGACTTATGAATACAATTCGTTCCCAAGGGCTGGTTGTAACTCAAGTTGGTCAACTGAAGGCTCAGCTCCTCTACACAGCCTTCAGAGTCTCTCTCCTGTACACAGGCAGATCTCAGTGGCCCGGGATTTCCCAGTTCACCTCCCATAGGGGAGGATGATGCTGTGATGTCCCTTCCAGAACTTTTTAAGGGTTAAATCTGTATCTGAGACCATCTGGAAGCACAGGCGCCTGCATTCAGGTTGTAACTCAAGACTCTGTAAGCTTAAACTAAAATTCTGGCCATAACCCAAGTTGTTCATATGTCAGGCCGGTCATAACTCAAGATTCCGCTGTATGGGCTTACCATCTCTAAATAAATCTAGCACACCAAGTCTTTCTTTGGGGATTCAAACAGATCACCCTTCCCTCAGGTGAGCACCCAGAGACACAGCTTGTTCAGAGGTCAGCCGCATCTAAAGGAGGGGCGCAGCAAGATGCAGCATCCAGAAACCCTAGAAGTGAAGAGGTCCTTGGGGACGACCGAGGGCTTTAATAATGTCACCTCACGCTCATCTGGGAGCACAGGCGTTACCTTGTAATGCCTCACACTTTTCTTTTTTTCTTTTGCTTTATTGATGTAAGACAAATTCCAGGCCTAGGTAGAACTCTCCTTGTTCAAGAGTAAGTAAAAAGGAGGGCCGGGGACTTAGCTCAGTGGCAGTGCGCCTGCCTTGCAAGTGTAAGGTCCCGCAAGGTCCTGAGTTCGATCCCCGATAATGGGGGAAAAAGCAAACTAGCATGGGACTTGTGAGCAGAGTTTGCAAGATTACAGTTCCAAGCCTCGGCGTTTTACCCCTCAGTCACTCCTCCCAGCTCTGGTTCACTCCTTCGTGGGTGCGTTCAAAGGGTCATTACTTTTCATAAAGTTGTTTTGGAGTAAATACTTCCATTGTTATTGTACTCAATTGTTTTGACTTTCTTCTTTAAGGATTTGAATTAGGTATATATTTGCTTCTTTTTTTGTTTCTGGGGATCAAACTTGGGTCCTTGCACTTGCGAGGCGGGTGGTGGAACCACTGAGCTAAATCCCCGGCCCTAGGGTTATATTTTCTATTACTAATCTCATATATCTTACATAATGAAGTCTAGCCTCCTAAAAAAAAAACAAAAAACAAAAAATTTAATGGGTATCTTCCCAACATCCGTAAAGGCATGGCTTTATTCTTCATTAAATACATATATTGCGTTGTATAAATGTTATTTCTGCTTGCACTTACTTGTGTATTACTGGCTGCTGGAGTCACGCCAAGGAACACGAGATTGTTACACCCGAGAAAAGCCTTGGCTTCAAAGTGACCGTGAAATGGGAGACTTGTTGACCTGCACAATTTCTCTTTCAGGTGTGTCAGATGGTGGACTCTGTTTATAAGCAACTGAAGGAAAACTCCTCTGACTTTATGAGGGACAGCTTGTTGGAGGTCGTCACCTTGTTGGTGCAGACGTTGCCCAAAGGTGTCGTCTTTCAGCTCATGGACTACCGGGTCCCAATGGACAGGTACGGCTTTTCCCTGCCCCTTCTTGTGTGTGCTCACCAGTCCACAGGCAGGGAGACAGACATGGGCTCAAATCCGCGGGCTGTCATTTCCAGGCCTCGTTTTTTTTTCCTGAGATCTATTTTTGTGCCACATAGATTACTGCCAGGCTTAGATACCATCATGAATGCTATTCACAGCCGGGCGTGGTGGTGCTCACCTGTAATCCCAGCACTCGGGATACTGAAGGCAGGAGGATCACTGTGAGTTCGAGACCAGCCTGGGCTACATAGTGAGTTCCAGGTCAGTCTCAACTACATAGTGAGACCCTGTCTCAGGAAAGAAAAAAAAAAATGCTATTCACACTTTGGCCAATAGCTGGCACACAGGGGGCCCCCAAGAAATAATCAGTGCAGCCTTTATTTAGCTGAGGCTTTTGATCAGGTCCTGCCGCGTCCTCTAAGAACAAACCTATCCTCAAAATGATCATAGATTTTTCTTCCCATTTGGTGAATTTACTTTTTTCTGAAGGAAAAAAAAATCCATACATGGAATATTTCTCTTGCTTATGAAAGACACTCATAAGATGTCTCTACCCACCAATAAAAAGGATGCGACATTAAGAATTACCAAATTGAAAGTCTCCTGCCCCTTAACTGTCCATCTGAAATTCATGATCCAAGATCACAAGAAATATTTAAGAAAAAAAGTGCTAATGTGAGCCGGTGAGGCAGTATGGCTCCAATGCATACATTAGAAGGATCTAGAAAAACCCACCCCTTGGCTTTTAGTTTATATGCTGGGGAGGAGCGGTGGCTTCCTATGCCGACAGCACTCACCGCAGGACAGCCAATATTAGAAGCGTTGTTCCAAAGGGCCAGACTCTTGTCCTAATGATCATTTCAAAGTGTTCAGAATGCCAAAGGGTCTCTCTCCGGCAGGAGAGCAGGGCAGTGGGCTGTGTGCTGAGTTGTTCGCCCAACCTCTAGCCATCTTTGTGGCTCAGGGGATGTTTTCCTTTCTCTCAATTAGAAAATCCTGGGATTACAACCGACTCTTCCTCTCCTAGGCAAATCCTGTAATCCTTTAGATTAACGCCTCATTGTTATGCAAGTTAAACATTATTCTCCTTTTGATTAGAAAATAGGATAAGCAAGCCCTTATACCCCTCGGTTTTTTTTTTTTTAAATACCCCTCATTTTGATGTTATTTGAAAACCACCAGGAGGCCAGGGGACACTGTGGTGCTGACCTGTAACTCCAGCACTCACAAAGCTGAGGCATAAATTCGAGGCCAGCCTGGGATACAAAGTAAATTCAAGAAAGCCAGGGATTTGGCTCAGTGGTTCCACCACCTTCCTCGCAAGTGCAAGGGCCCCAGTTCGATTCCTGGTACAAAAAAATTGTAAAGCTGGGCATGGTGGCGCAGACCTGTAATCCCAGCACTGGGAGGCTGAGGTAGGAGGATCACTGTGAGTTCGAGACCAGCCTGGGCTACACAGCGAGTTCCAGGGCAGTCTCAACTAACATAGTGAGACCCTGTCTCAAAAATCAAAAAAAAAAAAAAAAAAAAAAGAAAAAAAAAGAAAGAAAAACAAAGTCCAAGGGCAGCCTGAACTATACAGATCCTGTCTGGAGGGAATTGAATGATAGACTTCAGAGCCCCATGTGGATGGGGAAGATAGCAAGATTCTGGTACCACAGAGATGTGGAGCCGTTTAAAATGAGCAAGGGTCAGACTGTGCATAAAGCGTGGCTGTGTGGGAAAGAAGGGAGGGGACCAGACTCCCGACATCAGAGCTCGGGCCAAGCACGTGTGTGTCACTGTTGAACACGTGGCCTTTGGCAACTTGGTTTATGCCTCTGAGCTCAGGTTTTCATCTCTATTGTTATTGTTGCCTTGTTCGTTTAGGTTTTACATAAACTTGCCTGCATATTGATGGCTGACGAATTTGTATTCTCCTGCTGATCTTTAAATATATCGCTCTTCCTGGGCCCTTCCTGGACAAGCGGAATGGCCTGATGGAGGCGCAGAGTGCAGGGTACAGAAAAATCGATCAGTTTCTGATGCGCTAACTAGATACCTAAATCTCAGCAAGAAATGGGCCCACAGACTTTCAGACTGTATTTTCCATGTTGTCACAATTTTCCTGGGTTTTTTTGGTTTTTTGTGGGTACCAGGGCTCGAACTCGGGACTTCGCACTTGTGAGGCAGGCAGTGGAACCACTGGGCTAAATCCCCAGCTTGATCTGCCTCTGTTTTTGAGGCTTAAGCCGCTGAGGGATCGTTTGGACATGAGAATCTCAGTTTGCTGGGGACTGATCTGTGCCATCTTTGTTCTGAAAAATGTGATCCAAGTCCCGGCGTCCTGTAAGGGACCGGGCTCGACGGAGGATCTGCCTGCGTTCACCGAGTTTTGCATCTGCAGTGCTCTGACCCTGATGTGGCAGGCCGTGGGCGCCCAGCCACAGGTGGCCCCGCAAGTGCTGAAGCCAATCCTGCTGGTGCTGAAAGACAAACCCTGGGAAGCGGAGGCCGCCGTGCAGGGAGGGAGATGCTTCGCTCTGGACGCCACCAACATGATGCCTCTGGCGGTGAGGACCACGACTCGGTTTCTCCCGGCGCCGCCCGCACTCGGATCCCTGACTGCCCAGGCTCAGTCCTTCCTGCCCCTACACCTGTGCTCTGTGCCACACCCTGCCCGTGGGGCTCACATTCTGCGGGGAGACAGGGACCCGGAGGACCAATCTGTGTGTCAGACAGCCGAGGAAATCTGAAATGGTGTCCGGGGAGGAAAGAGTGACCGGATGGCGTAGGGGACTTAGTCAGGCCCAGCCTCCCTGCTGAGGTGACTGCGCCCGGTCAAGAGCGATCCTTGCGTATACCCGGGAGAGACAGGAAGGAGAGCAAAGAAACAGAATAACACAGTCCGGGTGTGGTGATGCACTCACCTATATCCTAACACTCAGGAGACTGAGGCAGGAGGATCGCTGAGAGTCTGAGGCCAGCTCTGAACACTTAGCAAGGCCCTATCTGAAACAAACAAACAAATAAATAAATGCCCCGTTCGATAAATGTGAGGAGCTGGGGTACATCTTTCTGATGTGGCGGGTACTGCACAAGGCAGTATACCAAATGATCTGCGACAGCCTGACCCACTTCCTTGGATCACTTGATTGGGGGCAGGACCCGGGTCATTAACGGGACGTTCCTCATGGCCGTATGGGATGTGCACCCTGTTGGGCCCCAGCTTGCCTCCCCTGGTTTGGCAGCCGGTGATGTCCAGTTGTGCACCTTGCCTGAAAACGCTTGGCGTGGCTCTGGTGCTCTGGTGCCCTGGTGCTCCTGAGGGAGAGGAGGTGCAGGCGAGGCTCAGGCTCCCTTCGAGGAGGCCCAGGAAGGCTCCTGCAGCGCCCCACTGCCCCTCTCCTCGGTAAGACTGGCTTCAAGGCGAGATGCTTCTCTTTTGAGCACCCTTTTCTCTGCTTTGTAGGCATCGCAGGCCCTGTGTGTGCTTCTGCCTACGGCTTCCTACAAGAGGACAGTGGCCCAGCTTTTTCCCGAGATCCTGATGGCCCTCTTGTTTCAGCTCCTCTACGTCAGTCAGCTGAGGATGCAGCCACAGGACAAGCCCATGTGAGAGCGCGGGCTACTTCGATCCCGAGCGAGCCGAGACTCCTCTGTCCCTCTGGGGTCGCGCTCGGGCAGGGCACCCGTGCACGCGGTGTTCTCTCCCCGACGCGAAAAGCAGCCTCTGAAGCAGCACAGCGCTGCCAAACCCCGTCTGTTTGTGCTGCGCTCCCGGTGGGCCGCATGAGGGAGGGGAGTCAGGTCCCAAGCCGCAGTCGCGCAGCAGTGCTGTGTGGGGACCTGGAAAACTCCTGGCTGAGAACGGGCGGGCGGGCGGCCTTGCGGCCTGAGTCCTCTGCCCGCATCAGGAAAAGCTCAGGATTCCCTTCTGCCCCGGAGAGCGCATCCTACTTACTAATGACACCCGGCGAAGAGAACAGACACCTTTGCAAGTCGTTATTTTGTTGAACACGTCTTGCAAATAATGAACACATAACTAAGCTGCTCTGTGGTTAATCCTAGATTTTATGTGCTACAATTTTAATTTCACCTCCTGTCCAATGTAGTGCTCATCAGGGGTGTAAAAGCACTGAGTCGTTGCCTTCTTCCGGCACGTCCCCTCTCTCGAAGCCGAGGAGGCAGGGCACGTGTCCTCAGCTGTGCGACGGTCACTGTCCCAGGATGATGCTCTTTCTTGGGCCCTTAGCTATGCCCGGGAGGCGCTGAGAATTCTGCTGAAATGTTCTGGACTGCAAGAAGTGGACAGAGCCCTTAACCAGAAGTACTGCTGGAGTCATATTTACCAAGCATACCATTATCACGATGGGGTCAACCTCATGGCCAGGTAAGGACAGGGGACTCTGCCTGGGGTGCTGGGCCTCCACCCGCCCTTAAGTAAGCCTCATGGGAACACGGGATCTATTTCAATTTGAACGTCTGTCTGCATTACGTAAGCGGCCCTCTGACCTCTACCTCGTCAGCTATTCTGGGAGGTCTCATCTGGGAGAATTTCCCTCTTCCCTGTCACTTGACGATCCAGTCACTCAGAGAACACCTGTGTCTTTCCGGTGTAGCAAGCTCACGGCCAGTCCACGTTTCTCCCTTCTGATATTTAGCTCATTCCTGCTCTGCAGACCTCAGACTGAAAGAGGCCCAGTAAAGACCTGTGCTCAATGAACCAAACAAATTCAAGGCACTGGAATGAAAAATACTTTTTCTTCTTCTTTTACTGGCAAGGAGGGGGTTTCTTGTTCGTCCTTTAGCAAAGAGCAAGTTTCTGATTATAGGGATCAAATTTTCTGATTAAGAATTAAGATGTAGGGACTTGGCACAGCATACTGATGTGACACTGTAACCGACCCAGAAGATGCCGTCTATACCGTCCATGGGCTCTTGGTGCTTTCGAAAATGGCATCTTGGGGCCGGGGATTTAGCTCAGTGGTTCCGTCACCGGCCTCACAAGCACAAGAACCTGAGTTTGATCCCTGGAACCAGAAACAATGGCATCAGCAATCTCACCTCTGGGGAAGCTGAAGGAGGAAGACCATTGTGAGTTCGAGGCCAGCCTGGACTGCACAGCAAGACGGACTCACGTCTGTGCGTCAGGACAGGTCTGAGCCTGACCAGTGCGCTCGCGTGTGCGTGCGTGCGCGTGTGGGAGGCTGAACGGATCAGACCTCGCAGCCCCTTCCCATGAGCTGTCCACAGTAGCCCCAGACTCTCGTCATCGTTGTATTATTCAAAGGAGAGGCGCGACCAGAGCCACACAGGTGACCCTGCCCTGCTGTTGAAGGCTGACTTTCAGATTTTTGCTACCTCTCCATTTGGTCAAGGGTTGACGGGAGATGAAAGGATGCGAGACTCAGGAAACAGAAGTGGCATTAAGGAAAGAAATGTGGACAGAGGTCCGGTTGGATGTAACCCCAGAGGCCATGTAGAATCCATAGTGAGGCTGTAGTTGACCTTGGGAATACTAGGAATATCCTTTCTTTTTACTCTGGGAGGTAAGAGCTGTGAGCCTAATGTTCATTCTTTTCCCCTCCATTGCTAAGAGATAAACCTTGAATCTGGGGCCTTCACACTGAGCTGTGCCTCCATCCACATATGTATTTTTAAAACAATTTTTTATTTTGAGACAAGGTCTCACTGAGTTGTCCAGGATAGGTTTGAACTTGCAATAGTCAGGCTCTGGCCACCCAGCGTGGTGGAGTTCCAGGCGTGCACCTCCATGCCCGCTTTGTCTCTTCATCGCTAGCAGTGTTTGCTGATGTAGAACATGTTTCCTCCTTGGCTAATGCAGCGCCTCCTCGTTCTCCTTTGCAGAACCCTCTGTGAGTGTAACTTTCCACAGTTTCCGGAGACTTTGCATCACCTCCACAAGCTCTTAGTGCAGGGCCCTAGGAGCTCAGAAGAGCACGTCATCATAGTCATATTCTTCATCAAAGTGAGTTTTAACAGCTCTCATGTTCTTCTCTCGCCTAAGCTTGACACTCGAGCCTCTTGTCTCCCCTTCAAAATAGTGGTTTTGACCAGGACTCAGAAAAGAATCAAAAGATATCTGAAGGTGGGAAAGGGGACAGCAGAAAGAGTTACCCCCGGGTTTCAGGAGAGCTGCGGCTTTAGTTTGCTCTAGCGATTGGCTTTTTATCTTCTCCTAGAGGGTGTGGGTTTGAACAAACATTGGTATTGTGCAAGCCTGCGAAAGCATTTCGAGGGTGACGGGGTCTTCCGAAGGCAGCCAGTGACCCCCGGGTACGTCATACACGACAACGTCGTAGGAGTCGAGCACACTGAGGACGCCCTTGGCCTGCGAAAAAGGCTGCGTACGTTGATTCAAACGCAATTTTTCCATGAAAGTCACGCCGTAAAGGTGCGACGCCCAATCATTCCTACAAATACGAGGGGACTTCAGACAACACCGCAGAAGAGTTAGTAAAGTGTGAAAGGCACTCACACTACCCGACGAACCGCGAAGCTCTCTGAAGCAAATGTGAATCGATTTCATTGAACACTGCTGTTTCTCAAAGGTGCTTAATCCTTTCGCCTCGCCTTCCTCTTATTTTGTGACTCAGTATTTTCAGTGTATCCACAGTAAAGTATGTAAAAATATAAAATAGGTCCACACGGGACGTAAGTGAAATCTCCCACAAAATCATACATTCAAAAGAAATTCACAAACCCCACAGATTTATGTCAGCACCGTGAGATGAGGTGAGGTTTAACCACCTTTCTCAAGTGTCAGGTAGCGGCCTTTGCGATCAGAGGCTGATGTGCCCGGCCTCCCATGAACTCGGCAAGGATCATTTCTTCCTCCTCTTCTGTGAATCTTTGACACGTCTGTCAAATTGTTTCTCTTCATCTATTGAAAAGATCACAGAAAAAAAAAAAGTCACACCGGGCCTGACGTCACACACCTGTAATCCCAGTACTCGGGAGGCTGAGGCAGGAGGATCGCTGTGAGTTTGAGACCAGCCTGGGCTTCATAGTGAGTTCCAGGTCAGTCTCAGCTACACAGTGAGACCCTGTCTCAAAAAACCAAAAGAAAGAAAGAAAGAAAGAAAGAAAGAAAGAGAAAGAAAGAAAGAAAGAAAGAAAGAAAGAAAGAAAGAAAGAAAGAAAGAAAGAAAGAAACGGTTATCAGTTAGGCAACATTCTACTCATCGTTGTAACTGGAAGTTGAATTTTATTCACTGCCTTTTTCTTTTCTTTTCTTTTTTTCTTTCTTTTTTTTCTTTTTTTGGTACTGGGGATTGAACTCAGGACCTTGTAACTGCAAGGCGGGCACTAAATCCCCAGCCCTACTGACTACCTTTTAACAGTTAAAATCTAATGTTTTTTTCTATATAACTTATTAATGACATATTCAAACATTTTAAATGTCATTGCAAAATTTATTCCAAGAACTGGATGCAGTGGAAGTTGATTTGCTAGGATTTTGTTGGGGGCTGCACAGCCGTGCCGAGTGCGGAGCTCATGGGTAGTGCGCACCTAGCACGTGCAAAGCCCTGGGCTTCAGCCCCACCCCGCTGCCCTCCCTTCTTCCTCTGTTCTCTTTTTGTCTGCCTGTCTTATTTCTCTCTTCTTCTGTTTTTTGGGACCGGGCATCGAACTCGGGACCCTGCGCTTGCGAGGCAGGCGGCGGCACCACTGAGCCACACCCCGGCCCTTCTGTCTGCTCTGTTCCTTCATCCCCTCCCGGTGTCTGTCTCTGGGATTGAGCCCAGGGCCTTTGCACCAAGCTGCGTCCCAAGCCCTTTATTTTTCGATTCAGGGCCTTGCTGAGTTGACCTATCTTTCTTTCTCTTACGGCCCCTTCTTTTTTTCTTTCTCTTTGCTTCCTAAGACAGGATCCACCCACCTCCCTTGGTCTTCCCGCCCCCCTTCTCTCCGGTCTTTTGGCTGCTCAGACCCAGCCTGCTCCGTCCCAAAGTGAATCTACACCAGAGAGTCTCCATTTGGCCGTCCTGGAAATGCTTCCGTGGCACCTTGTCGCTTTTCACCCCAATGCCAGTCACAGTGAACGATTCTGTTCTCTTTAGAATGAGTCTCACTGTACAGCATCTGTCTCACCAGCTCTTCCACACGCAGCACAGACTTTGGCCGTCCTGGAAATGCTTCCGTGGCACCTTGTCGCTTTTCACCCCAATGCCAGTCACAGTGAACGATTCTGTTCTCTTTAGCATAGTGCAGAGCAGAGTCTCACTGTACAGCATCTGTCTCACCAGCTCTTCCACACGCAGCGCAGACTCGTGGACCGAGACCTTCGTCCTCACCACGTCTCCTCCACTCACTAGCACAACGCCTAGTCCAAAGTAGACGTTAACTTTTCACGTATACAAAATTCCTTGTCAAGAAACTCAGCTATCTGACTATAATCCAAAAAGGAGGGTTCTTTCATTATTACTATTAGTTAGTTAGCTAGAGATAGGATCTGCTGTGCAGTCCAAGATGGCCTGGAACTCACTATGTAGCCCAGGCTGGTCTCGAACTCACAGCGATCCTCCTGCCTCAGCCTCCTGAGCGCTGGGATTACAGGCGTGCGCCACCACACCTGGCAAGGAGGGTCATTTAAATTGGTTCATTCCGTTTCCGAGAATGGAGAGACTTGATCAAAATGGAAACAAAGCCCAGCATCTTTGCCTCACCTGTGTCCCACGGCGGTGAGCCCGGGGTCATGTGTAGTAACAGATGTCAGTACATGGACGACTCATGTGACTCGGAGTCCAGTCTGGACTCTCTCGACAGAAATCCTGCCCTTTGGCCCTGACTCCACTCAGTATCTGTTTTTGTCTTGTTCTGTTCCAGATTCTGGATAAGTTCTTCAAGGACCCGCTCCCAGAATTATTTTTGGTCCTCCTCAAAAACTGGATCAACGATTCCAATCCTGAAATTAGCAAATTAAGCCTTCAGAAAATCACCAGCATGGCCCCAGTGGTCAATAAGGTACGTGGGAGGCCGGGGATTTAGCTCAGTAGTGCTGCCACCTGCATCGCAAGCGCGAGGTCCTGAGTTCGATCCCCGGTACCAGATGATGATGGTGATGAGGCATGTGGGTGGGATTTGTGTCTGGCAGCACTGTCTCTCTTTTGAGATTGCTCAGTATCTCTGTGACAGAGTGTTGATGTTTCTTTAGTTTTTATACAGCTAAAACCACATCAAAGCCAGACTTGCTGCAATCAAGGAACTGTTGAATGGAAGGGACGCACCTCGCCGTATGGCTCCGTCCCCTTCTTTATAAATATAGGTTTTAAAAGATCCTCGGGTGACTCTAACGCCAGCTCCAGCTGAGAATCAATGTCTTACATTGTTGGCCTCTGAATGGCGTGAATACTTCTTGTCTTCCAAATCCATCAAATATAAGCACACTCCTATGTTTTGTTTTGTTGAGACAGGATCTTGCCGGGCTTGAACTCACTATGTAGCCCAGACTGGCCCCAAACTCTTGGAGATCCCCCTGCCTCAGCTTCCTGAGTGCTGAGAGTACCAGGAGTGCACCACCATAGCCAGCCACCCCTGTGTTTTGTAATTCCAAATTCCAAATATCTTGTACAATGCCGAGATTGCGGACACTCGTTTAATAATGAATCCTCACTCGTCTCCTGAGCATTGCCTCTGAGCGCCGAAAGCCCGTCTGTAGATCCCTATTTTGCACTGAAAATAGCCTGGGCTGCGGTCTGTTGGCCTCAAGTGAATCATGAAAGTCCCTGGGTATATGAAGACTGTACGGCCTTTTAGGAAGCAGTAAGTTATTTACTGCTTCATCTGGAGCTCTTCCCAACGCCGTCAACAACTGGAAGGGAGATTCTGTGTCGAGGTCAGCTGCGAAGGAAGGAGCAACAGCGGGGAGACCTGGACGGAGTTGTCACTGCCGTCCAGAGACGAAACGTCAGCCAAAAGGGGCCGCCGCCACCGAGTCCTGACCTCCATTCTCCTCTCTCTAAAGCTGCTGTCTTGGCAAAGCGTGTCTCTCTCGCCTCCCCGGCTCCTCTCCGGGGGCCCCATCCTCATCCGCCCTGCCTCTGTCCTTGTGGCTGTCACCCGCCTGTGGCTTGCAGGAGCCGCCTCGGCTCACGTCCGAACCACAGGTCTCTGTCACCCGCGGCGAGGCCGTCACCAGCCAGCTCCCCGGAAACGAAGGCCTGGCCCCGGCGCAGATGCTCCCGTCCCGGGGAGCTGCAGGCTCTTCCCAGGGTGTCGCTGCGCGCGACCTGGACAGAAGGGACCATCGTGCGCTGCTGGGTGTCCCCGTCGTGCGGACACAACGCTCACAAATAACGCCGAGCGTAGAACATCGGACACTGCACCCAAAGAGCTAGGAATTGACTGTTTGGGACTATTATTACCTTCCTTTTATTGTATCATAAATCTATATGATAACTTTTTTACCGACCAATTTACAAAGCTTTCCACATTCTGACAAATGCCTCTGTGAGCCAGGGTCGGGATGTCAGGCTCAGAAGTGTAGAGGCCAAAGCCAGCTGGGGACAGGCGATTCGGACGGAAAACTGTGCCCAGGGCGCCAGCGCAGCAGCTCCCCGGAGGCCCGAGGCCCGAGCGCTCCCCACCGGGGCCGAGGCCTCGCAGAGGTGGGTGCGCCCCTCCTGCTCCCTCAGTCACCGTGGTGACAGAGAAATACGTGCAAAATGCACTTGTGACGTGGACTTCAAAGCCACCCCTCCATCCAGCGGCATAGGAGGTGCTTCCTGGACTCTGCCATCTCTGAGTAGTGTGATGCATGTTGCCTTTCAAATTTTCCTTATGAAGAAGGCTGCGCGCCTTTGCCCTGTAAGAGGCATCAGATGAGAGAACCAACACAGCTGCAAAGACCTGAAAAGTATTTTCATCATACATAATTAATGTGGAAGCTTTTATTTATTTATTTAGGTTTTTTGAGACAGGGTGTCACTATGTAGTTGAGACTGACCTGGAACTCACTGTGTAGCCCAGGCTGGTCTCAAACTCACAGCGATCCTCCTGCCTCAGCCTCCCGAGTGCTGGGTTTACAGGCGTGCACCACCACACCTGGCTTTTACTTCTTGTTTTAGAATCTTTCTATACTTTCTATACTATGAACATTTTTTTGTTCATAGGTGGTTCTGCCACCTGCCTCACAAGCACGAGGTCCGGAGTTGGATCCCCGGTACCAAAAGCAAAAACAAAAAAATAAAATGAAAAATAGGAGCACATTTCAATTAGTTACATGGAATGGCAGGCTGGGCATTCCTAGCATACCAATCTCTTCCTTCCAGATTAGTCTCATAATTAGTGCCTGTCAACAAATGTGTACTTTTTCAAAACTTAATTGAGGTTAAAGTAGAAAATTGGTTTTTCTTTTTGTACTGGGATCAGACGGAGGGCTTTGGGCCTGCTAAACATGTGCTTTACCACGGAGCCACACCCCACGCCTGAAAAAAAAATTTTTTTGGGGGGGGTTATTGGGGATTGAACTCAGGACCTTGCACACTTGTGATGCAAGGCAGCAGCACCACTGAGCTAAATCCCTGGCCCCTGAAATTTTTTTTTAATCTTTAAATCTTTCAGGATCCTCCTAGTAAACGCCTATCAAAATATCAAAATCAGGCCAGGGATCTAGCTCAGTGGCACCACGCCTGCCTCACACTCAAGGTCCCGAGTTTGATCCCGTTACAAAAAAAAAAAAATCAAAATCATTCAGAAATTCTGATTCATAGACTTTCACATTTTATGCTTATCTATAAATCACAGATGTATCATATCAGCGCAGAAATTTAACGTGCTTTTTCAATGTTTTTACAGATATTTTTATAGCTTCATTTGGAGAAATAATAAAAATAATTATTTAATAAAAAAAGAAGGTACAGTTGTAGCATGCAGAGATTATACTGTAGTTTTGTGTGTTAACATTAAGTCCTTTTGAGCCAGGTGTGGTGGTGCACGCCTGTAATCCCAGCACTCGGGAGGCTGAGGCGGGAGGATCGCTGTGAGTTCGAGACCAACCTGGGCTACACAGTGAGTTCCAGGTCAGTCTCAACTACATAGTGAGACCCTGCCTCAAAAAACAAACAAACAAACAAAAAACACTCCTTTGGGTCCTATCCCCAGCAGTTTCAAAATCGTTTTTAAAAGACTGAACATTAAATTCCTCTTTTGTACACTTTGCAGACAGCCATATTTTAAAAAAGAAAACTGAAGGATGTGATTTTGCTTCTGGTGGAGCAAATAAAAACCTTCTGTTGTCACTGAAAGCAATTTAAGAGATTTCCAGAGAAATGGGAAGTGCTACCCCAGAGATGTGACAAATGTGTCGGGTAAAAGTAAGCAGCGAGCACAGACTAGAATAATGGTGCTAATCAATTAAGTTCAGAGGCAGACCAAAGGGAAGCGATGAGTTTCATGGTTGAGTAAATTTTAATCCTTTGGGAAAACTTCCTTTCTGACATTGTCATATTTACATGCAGATGTTCAAATAAAGCTTATCTATCCATAAACATATTTCAAAGGAAACTAACTGCCCGCTCAAGTCTCCCTCCAGTTCCAACTTCTCACCGTTTTCCTCCTTTTCCACGTAGATAGAAAATGTCTGCAGCTTATTAACATCCATCCTGAATGCCTTCACGTCCAAAGACGACACTGTTGTTGTTCAGGCCTTGCTCACCCTCCGAAGACTGGTGGATAAACTAGACAAGGCGACCTACTCGTCCCTGTGCCCTGGGATTGCCTCCAGCTACTTCCGTCTGATGGATCATGTGAGTAACCCTGTCGGATGTGTGAGATCCTTAGGTCTGGGGCCTTCAACAGACCAGGCAATGACCTTATACCGTGGAGAAGTTACCAGAGGCCAGATGTTTTCTTCAGAGCCGCCATTTTTTCCCCCAGAGATGATAATATACGAGGCCCCTGTGTGAAGACAACTCTGACAAGCCGGGGATTTAGTTCAGAGGAGCCGCTGCCTGCTTCCCAAGCTCAAGGTCCCGAGTTTGATCCCCTGAGTTTATAGTAAATTGTCTTGCCAAAAGTGTTGGGGTTTTTTGGTATTGTTTTTGTTCTTATTTTTTCCAGTACCAGGGATTGAACTCAGAACCTTGCACTTGCTGTGCCACTGAGCTACATCCCCAGCTTGCCAAAGTTGTAAGTTCTTAATATTCATATTTTAGGGAAAAAGGGAAACATATCATTAAACTACAGAAAGAAGGAATTTTGTGGCAATATGGTTTTCATAAATACACGATGATAATAATAACAGTGGCTACAGTTTATTGAGTATTGACTGTGTAGCGATTCTTCTAAAGGATTTGCATGCTCTGTTGCGTACAATCATCTAAGCAACTCTCTGTTATTATTTTATAGAAGGAAATTGAGGCTAACAAGGCAACACGTGGTCACTCAGTGATAAAGTAATTGGTATGTTTATGTAAAAAACATTTTCTTTTTTTGGTTTTGGGGTTTTTTTTGTTTTTTTGGTACCAGGGATCAAACTCGGGACCTTGCGCTTGTGAGGCAGACAGTAGAACCACTGAGCTAAATCCCCACCCCAAAAAATATTTTCATAATGAAAATCGTAAGCACTTTCCTTAAAAATAAAAATGACATTATATTTTTTCAATGAACCTCTTCTACTGGGCATGGTGACACACACTTCTAATTCCAGCACTCAGGAGGCCGAGGCAGGAAGATTGCCATGTTTGGGGCCAGCCTCGGTTACACAGTGAGTTCCAGACCAGCCTGAGCTACACAGTGAGACCCTGTCTCAAAAACAAAACAAACAAACAAAAAAACAATAATAATAAAATGAATTTCTTCCTCTGACTTGTAATTTTCCTCTTCAACAATCTATACAGTACAGTCCCATCCCATCGGAAATATAGTTACATGCAGCCTGCAAAGAGCTCGCAGTGGTATTCAGTGGCAAGTCTTTAAAGTCCTCTAGCCCTGGATCAAAGCATGATAACTTTGCTATAAGTATCGTCATAGAAAGTCTCCTAGCTAAGTGGTTCCGCCACCTGCCTCACAAGCCCAAGGACTCCGATTCCCAGTACCAAAAAAAAAAAAAAAAAAAAAAAAAAAAA